TCAATGTTTTCCTTGCTTATTTATAGGAAACAATGAACAGAATATTAAAGCATTGTCTAGTAATTTTTATTAGGTCTTACAAGTAGCTGACCAATGTTCAGTTTTCAGGTAGTTTATGATGGCTCACAAAACTTCTTATTTATAAAAAATTTCCAAGTAAATGTATATGAATTCAGGTACCCATATGTTTCAACATATCTTTAGAATGAGATTTTCTTGGAACTTTTCTCCAGTTCGAATGTGTCTTCTATTGGCTGAGAACAAGATCAGCAGTCAGAAAAGTCTGAGGTCTAGTTTTGACTGTGATATAAATACTTTACATATTACAATGCTTTTTGAAATGTAATGGAGACTTACCTTTGAAAATTTCCTTTTTCTCAGTACACTTGGGTTAATTTTTTAAAAATCTAAATCAAAGCAAAAGAATGTTTTCTCATCAAGGAAGAATACAAAAGTATGTCAAAAGCTTTCAACTTATTTAGTTCCATTACTGAATTCAGAGCCATCAAAGTGAAATAGCTGCCTTATATTCTTCTACATCATATTTAAGTACTTACTTCCTATTGTAGTGTATGGTAGTTGAACAATTTAACTTTCTGAACAGGAGTTCAGGTTACGGTCAACCTATTTGCCTTTCCATAATACTGGTGATATCGGTAGTGCACTGCAAATAAGTTTCCATCAGTGTAAAGTTGTGTGTTAAAACACCTAATGTCATGCATTGATAAACGACAATTAAAAAAGAGCATCAGTGATAATTAGTAGAAAATAAATTTCAGTTTCTAGATCTGAAAAAGTAATATTCATAGAATGTTCCTGAAGAAGATTTTTGTGCAGGTTCTGTAATTTTCTAACCATAATATTTTATTTTATTGTTGTTTCAAAGAAGCAGTCATCACAACAGCCTGGAGGATTTTTCAGTGGTGTGGTAACCTTTTCAGAAAAGGTGCTAATCCTTCTGACAAGGGATATATAGTGCTTAGTTGAGCTGGCAGCTGGATGGTGTATATCACAGCTGTTGACACACATTTAAAGTTCTCTTAACTTTTAATGTTCCAGGAAAGTCCTGGAAAGGCAGGAGTAGTCATTTGCCATCATGTATCTAGATGGAGGTACAGGAAAAAACGCTTTTATTAAGGTATCTTTCAGGTAGTTAATGATGAGAAATGGATTAGACAAAGGCTCATGAAGGTGATGGAGAATTAGCTTGTGATCTAAAAATAACAGCAGATTTTTAATAGTAGTGACTGGCCATAAGTTTTCGTAAGTACTGTTCCTCCTACCATGATTTAAAATGGTTTAAAATGTATACCATACATTTTACAACTGTGTTTGTACCTGGTATTTTTAAAATGACAAAAAGTAGCTAATGGTAAAGGGGGGCTAATTGTGTTGTAATGACTGGTAAACGGAATGACAGGCTTGAATACTAAGTGGCATGGTGACTGCTGGGCAGGATGCCTCTCTGGCCAGCAAGGTTTCTGGCTGATCAGGTGTACAGTTATTTATTTCTGATGGATAGATTTACAACTTCTGGCGTTTGATCCTAATAGTGAAGTTAGATCCCTCTAGCAGGGATGAAACTAATCAGAAAGGGAGTTTGGTAGTGCCAATTGACATAGGCCAGGAATTAAATTAGTTACTTTAATCTATCAGGCTGCTTTGAAGAAAAAGGTTGCATTTTCAGGAAAGTCCTTATTCTTGTATGTGGCCTTGTAGTTGCCACATGCAGGGCACCTATGTAAAGCTTCCTCATGAAAGGTTGGAAGGCTGGGATAGATTTAGGACTCAGCTGATCTTTACATTATTGTCAGACATAGATGGTAGCCATATATTCATATATTAGCAACAAGATGAAAGAAATGCAATGACTGCTTGAGGTAAATGTAACAGAAAAGGCTAGAAAATGTTTGCGTAAGAGGTATAAAAATGCTGAATTGGCGCATCTTCCTCTCATTAACGTAGTTCATGTTAGAAAAAAAAGGCTGGATTTTTTAGAAATCTTTTGTCAGTTCCTCAGATGATATCTTTTCCTGATAGAAGTACATTTACCTCAGCAAAAAGTCTACAGTAAGTGTTTTTACTCATACAGAAATTCCATCCTTTTTATCCCCTCAGCCTCTCCCCCCATGACTTTGTGGCAGCAATGTTTCCAAAACTGATTTGTCCACTACTTTTTGCATCTATATGAGGACACTGTGACGTGGAATCATATAAATATACACACACATGTATGCGTGTGAGTGTGTGTATATATATATATATGTATAAGCTCCTACATGTAGGTAAAACAATTCTTACCATTCTGTTGTTTATATTACTATAGATACATGCATGCAGATGTTCAATCCTGAAGAATGTATACACTCAATCTGTTCCAAGGTATGCATGAGATTTGTCAACTAGATTCTGTACGGTCTGTGTGTTACACAGTTCATGAAAGAGTTGATCCTATAAACCATACTCACTACAATGTTTTGATGTCTTGGAGGATCAAATCTATGCAGAAATTTTTGGCTGTGAAAACATCTTGATCCATATGTAATACACACTGAGTATACACAGTGTATTAACTGTGGAGTATGTGTATATTCCATGTGCACAAGTCTCAATCTTGCAGTGAGATCCATGGATGAATGCAGTATCTGTTGAGTGCCATTTATTTCAATTGGATTTGCATAGAGATAAAAGATTTTGCCTATAGGGACGGAATTGGTGAGGGGAAATTAACCACATTTTTGTTATAGGTGTGGCATAAATTTTCAGCGATGTGAGTAATTTGCTGTTGGAACAATGTAGTTTGGGATGTGGCATATTTTTGATCAGCTGATGTATCTAAATGAAAAGTATTAATCTTTAAAGAAAGTTTCTACATCTAATCTCTGTTATCTTAATGAAAACATCTATGTCTTTTCAGACTGTCTGGGTTCCAGTAGTTCGTTGTCCTAATTGTCTGTTCCTGGCCATTTTGGTTTTAGATTTATGAAACTCTGTTCATATCACATTAAAGTGATTCAACTTATAGGCCCTAATAGCAGAATCCATAGAGTTTTTGTTAAACTTACAGAGGTCATGACTTGTGCTGGTACTAACATGACACTTTAATAAGACAGACAGGACATTTTAGCTGCACCATAAGCAAATAGGCATCCCAGTGATGCTTTTATTACTTGTCATGCTTCACAGGAAGAGTTTCATTTTTGCGAGATTGAATTAGTTTTCTATTTGCAATTCCACTGTAAGACTAAAGTACTTTAATATTTATAAGGCAAGACTGGGTCCAAATCTTTCAAGCACAGTTTTATGACCCTGTACAGTACCTAAAATAGGATGTCAATTTGCCAGTCACTCCCTGAGCACACTCTGCTCAGGCAGCGGTGGTTTTCCCTTGCTGAGCAGACACTGCATTTCCTTTCTGGCTGTGAGAAAAGTGTTCTTCTCACCCACTAGCTAGGCAGAGCCCTTTCTACTTTCCTGGGCACCAAGGAGAGCCTGTTTTTCCTTCTTTCTTTACTAAGTTGAAGCCTTTCCCTTCCTTATCTCTTCTAGGACCACTGTGGCAACAATAGGGCTGCATCTTTGCTTTCCTTTTTCCTATCCTACCCAACACCAGGCAGGACCTTCTGGTTTTTGCCTGTAAGGCTGCCCTTCAGGATCATTGGTTGTCTGTGAGGGTAGAAAACATTTGCAAAGGGATCCTAGTTTTAAAGATAGAACTAAATATAAGAGGAAAGGGCTGATAACACAAAAATAGGTTCACATACATATTTTCATTACTTAAAGCTTGAGCTGATCTGTCTTACCCAGAGAAGGCCTAACTTCCTGTCTCTTTTATTCACATCTGGGGTCTTCACTCCAGTTTCCTGCAGGCAACTCCCTCAGATTCCTCTCAGGTGAAAAACTGAGTATGAATCTGGACGTAGCATTTTAAATGTTCATTACCCTGTTAAGATTGATAAAGGCAGGATCTGATGCTCATTTCTTTTTTCACTATGAATCACTACTCTCTATTTAACTGATCCCTTCTAACCAAGTAGGAAATAATGTTCTATCAAAAAAAACCCAGAACATACAATATTTGTAATATATTCCAGGCACATCCTCTATTAAAATATTGCATATAATAAAATCACATGCTTTAGTCAATCATTTGTCAATGTCAGGGAAAAATATCTGCTGATAATTCTCTTTTCACCTTTTTTCTGAAACCTCAGGAGTCGTTTATGGGTAGATTTCATCTATGACAAAGAGTCAATGCTTAATGTGGTACAGGAACTCCATTCTGGTATCTGGTTGGTGCATCTTGCTCAAATGTTTGGACTAATACTGTTGCCATCCCTAAAGGCATGGAAAGGATTTTTTTTTTTTTTTTTTTTGTG